TGCAGAGCACAAGCAGAGACCACCAAGGCACGCATTTCTGAGAATGCCTGCCCGAAGTTTGGGGTATAGAATGAGAAGCTGCGGTTAAAACGGAGGACGAGAAGAGGTGTAAAAGCTCATCGATGGAGGACGAAGAAGGAACCTCTCTAAAAACAGTTAGGTGTGAGTAAAGGTTCCAATTTGCCTGATCAAATTGCCAGCGTGGGATGCGAAGAGGTGGTGAATATGAAGGGGAAGTAAGAATGATTGGGAAATGATCGCTGTCATGTAAGTCCGGAAGAACAGACCAAGTGAAGTCTAATGCGGCGGAGGAAAAGCAGACTGAGAGATCGATGCAAGAGAGAGTGTGAGTCTGAGGATCAAAATGGGTGTGAGTACCTGTATTTAAAACATGGAGGGGGTGGGTGGCAAGAAAAGCCTCTAACTGAATGCCACGGGAATCACAGTGAGACCCCCCCCCCTAGAGGAAATGGTGGGCATTAAAATCACCAAGTAACAGAATCGGTGGTGGTAATGACGAAACAAGAAAGGCAATATCCGGAATAGATAATGCCCGAGAAGGAGAGAGATATAAAGAACAGAGCATATACCACCTATGCAAGTGGATACGGGCTGCTGTGTAATGCAGCGAAGTACGAACAAATAGCTGATGGTATGGAATATCAGTGCGTAGAAGAAGGGCACTTTCATTAAAGGTCCCATCAGGAAAAGGATCTGAAGAATACAATAAATTATAGCCTGAGATGGGAGAGATAACAGCAGAGTGTAATTTTGGTTCCTGTAAGCAAACACCAACAGGGGAAAACTGGGAGAGTAACATCTGAAGCTCACCCCGATTACCCCTGAGGCCGCGTATATTCCACTGTAAATAGGCCATGATTGGCAATGATAAAGATACCTGAAATCCGCAGGTAAGGGTTCCTACGGACTAGAGGGGTTAGAAAAGTCCACATGCGGAGGCAGTGGAAAACGTTCAAGCAGCGAAGGAACGGTGCGCTGTGAAGAAAGGAGTTGCGCAGATGGAGTAGAGGAGAGAGAAGGAGTGGAGGGTGGATCAGTGTCCATTGATGGTTTGATCTCTGCAATATATTCAGAGATTGCTTCAAGTGTTTCAGAATTCAGAGACGTCGTATGGAAGACAATATTGGAAATGGTAGGGGGAGGATGAGTAAAGATTGGAACTGTAATGGACTGTACCATTGTAGGGGGGGGGGCGAAAGGGTGGAGGGAACTGGAGAAGCGTGGAAGGGGACAGAAGAGGCAGAAACCTGGGAGGTGGCAGAAGAGGAAGAAACTTGGGAGGGGACAGGGGAGGAAGGTACAGTACGAGGAGAAGAGTGAACCTCTACACTTGTAACAGAGCCAGTGAGAGGGGGTGAACCAGGTACAGAGACAGGGAAGGGAAAATGAGGAGGTGGAAGATGGGTAGGAGGTGTTAACGGACCTTTTTTTTGACTTTTGAGAAGTAGAGGGACGATTGGGAGGAGGTGTCATACGAGATCTCGTTGCTACTGAGGCTTGTGAGAGAGAACACGAAGAAGCAAGATCAGACTGAGACGTTGAAGTAGGGACGTCTGAGCTGAGGACAGCAAAAGAATTAGCTACAGGAGTGACTTTGGGAGAGGTAACCACAGAGGTGGGTGCAAAAGATGGGATACCAGAAGTGGGGGGACGTTTTGAAACACGGGAATAAGAAACATGAGGTAGTCTCCCTTGGAGGCGGAGATGAGATACTGCCATGGCATAAGGGAGACCTTCTGCCTCTTTGAGGTAACGGATTTCCCGCTTGTTTAAGTAGACTTGACAACGGCGAGAGTACGAAGGGTGAGCCTCATGACAATTAAGGCAAGAGGGAGGTCGATTGCAAGACGTATTAGAATGGTCATCGGCACCACAGACTGGGCATTCGGCGATAGATCTGCAATATTTCGCTGGATGGCCAAATCGCCAGCAATTTCTACACTGTTGCGGTGTAGGGATCACCTTTCGAACTTGTAGCCGATGTCCTGCTACATGAACTGAGGATGGGAGTTCACGGCTGTCAAAAGTTAAACGAGCCACATTGCTAGGGTATCGTCTCCACCCGCGGGCAGGAAGAACGTAAGTGTCTACCTTGAGGATTGGGAGATCTTGGAGTTCCAGCTGTTCAAGAATGTCAGTGCCACATGTCTGGAAATTTTGTTGAACTATGGTATGGGGCAGAATGACGGTACCACTACAAGAATTGAGGGAATGATGCTTTTCAATAGTTACAGGAACAGTATCGATATGGGAAAGACGAGAAAGCTCATGAGCCTGGGTAGCATTCTGTACGGTGACGATGCGCATACCGCTCTTAAGAGCATGAAAAGAAATATCTTTACCAACATGGCGTAGGAGTGCCTTGCCAATACTGTGGTCAGAAAGATAGGCAGTAGAGGAAGTCGGTCGTAAAGTGAAGAATTTAGTCCATTGTGCAGTCTGAAACTGAGCGTGGAAAGGTAGTGAAGGACGTGTCGATCTTTTCTGAGAAGAACGAGAAGGTGGAGAAGTATCAGCAGGTAACTGTCGTTGTCGTTTAGGCGTGGGACCAGAGTTGGTCTGACGTGGAACGGGCCGGCGATTCGAAAATTGCCGCACCGTAGAGGGAGAGGCCGGAAGCATAGTCAGAGGAGAGCGAAGGTCAGATAAATCGAAGGAGTCAGTCGAGGCCTCAGTACCTGAAGCGGGTGAGGAAACACCACCGGCAAGAGGTACAGAGGCATGAGGAGTGTCCGAAGAGTGGTCCAAAGACGAGGCGGGGTCAGAACGGGGTGCGGTATCAAGAAGGGGCCCGGGGGTAGCAGGTTCATGGACTAGGAGTGCCATGGTTAGGTTACTTCTTTCTTTTTGTTTTTAAGAAAAAAAAAAAGAAAAGAAAATAAAAATAAAAAAAAGAATAAAAAAAAGGGGGGACCGGGGAGGGATAGTTCCTAGGAGGAATGAAAGGGCCAGAAATCTCCCTCCGCGCCCAAGAGGACCTCAGCACCACAAGTAGCGCAGATGCAACATGGAACCCGTGCCATACCCTACCCATCATGCCAGTAAACCGACAATCCAGGATAGCAACCTCACATCTGCCAAGCTACCTCGGTGGACAAAAGAGAGGGTGGCCGGAAATCCGCCACAAAGCATACCTCCTTCGGCCACCACCCCCGGAATCCGAAAGGTGGCTTCCAGAGATACACCCGTCGCCCGAGAGACACCCAAAGCCACCCTCCGGGATACCGGAGAGGGATCAGGACATCCCCAGGCAATCCAGATGCCACGGCAAACTACGCCACCGCCAAGAACCTCAACGGAATGGGATGGACCTCGGTACCCTTTCCCCTACCTAGGAACTAGTGTGCCTGTGGAAAAAAAAAAAAAAAAACCCAAAGGCCAAAAAAGAAGGGCAAAAGGGAGGGGTGGGGAGGAGGAGGAGGAGGAAAGGAAAAAGGGGAGGATGGGATAGGGAACGGGGGATTGGGGGGTAATTAGGTTCGGTCTGAGGAAGTAGACCGACAGGTCTAATTCCTCAGACCAAGAGCCCCTTCACCACGCCAAGGAGCGTCCCTTGAAGAGGTCATCCTTCATAGACCCATCTGCTGACATGTTCACTCCTAAATATCTGAATACATTCACCTCCTCCATACTCTCTCCCTCCAATCTGATATCCAGTCTTCACCGAATCTGTTTATCCTCATAACTTTACTCTTTCCTATATTCACTTTTAATTTTCTTTTACATACCCTACCAACTTCTGCAACTTCTTTCTAGAATTTCCCAAAAGCACTGTGTCATCAGCAAAAAGCAACTGTGACAACTCCCACTTTGTGTTTGATACTTTATCTTTAAACTCCACACCTGCCAAGACCCTAGCATTCACTTCTCTTACAACCCCATCTAAAAATATATTGAACAACCACAGTGACATCACACATCCTTGTCTAAGGCCTACTTTTACTGGGAAATAATCTCCCTCTCTCCTACTTACTCTAACCTGAGCCTCACTATCCTCGTAAAAACTCTTTCAGTAATCTACCTCCTATACCATACACCTGCAACATCTGCCACATTGCTCCCCCTATCCACCCTGTCATATGCCTTTTCTAAAATCATGCCACAAAAACCTCTTTACCCTTATCTAAATACTGTTCACTATATATTTCACTGTAAACACTTGGTCTACACACCCACTACCTTTCCTAAAGCCTCCTTGTTCATCTGCTATCCTACTCTCTGCTGTATAGCCCTTGTGGCTTAGCGCTTCTTTTTGATTATAATAATAATATCCTACTCTCTGTCTTACTCTTAATTCTTTCAATAATAACTCTGTTGAGTATACCTGGTAAAGTGTATGGCAGACTTGTTCTTTCAACGTACCAGCCGTATCCCACTGAGGCAGGGTGGCCCAAAAGGAAAAACGAAAGTTTCTCCTTTTAAATTTAGTAATATATACAGAAGGGATTACTAGCCCCTTGCTCCCGGCATTTTAGTCGCCTCTTACGACACGCATGGCTTACGGAAGAAGAATTCTGTTCCACTTCCCCATGGAGATAAGAGGAAATAAACAAGAACAAGAACTAGAAAGAAAATAGAAGAAAACCCAGAGGGGTATGTATATATATGCTTGTACATGTATGTGTAGTGTGACCTAAGTGTAAGTAGAAGTAGCAAGATGTACCTGAAATCTTGCATGTTTATGAGACAGAATAAAGACACCAGCAATCCTACCATGTAAAACAATCACAGGCTTTCATTTTACACTCACTTGGCAGAACGGTAGTACACTCAACAGACTTATTCCCCTATAATTTTTGCACTCTCTTTTATCGCCTAGGTAACTTACCCTCTTCCATACATTTATTAAATGTATGGAAGAGGGTAAGGTATTTAGCATAGTATCCCCTATGCTAAAAAATAAATTACAGGATTTTAAATCAACTTCACTGTGGTAGTCTTCTGTTAAAATATTTTACCATGGGTAACTAAAACAAAACAATGTTCAATTATTTATTTAAAATATATAGACATTTTGTTCATTGATAGACCTTTGATATAACTAGGAGATGGCTGTACAGAACATGTACAATGGCTGGGTTACTACATATTAGTAAGCAAGATAAAAACACTTTAAACAATATACACATCCCCATTAGTCAGACAACATACAATACTCAACATAGTATTTCAATCCCTGCAAATTTTTTGATGAAACTTGGCTATAAGCCAAATAAATAGCACTACAATAAATACTTGGGTAGACATCACACAAACCATCTATCAAACGTAGGACCAACAGAGATCAACAATGTAAGAAAAAACCATTAGTATATCTTGCAAAATACAGTTTAGTAAAATGGCATATGCTTATGGAACAAATCTCCACCTAGGCTTGTCAGTGGATAACATGAGACTGACATTATACTGTCACAACAGTAATAAAATGATGTTAGTTAATATCTTCAAGCAAATACCTAATTTCCGACATAATACAACAAAATAAAAGTGATTATATAATTATAATACTTGACAAGCCAGACTAAAAAAAAAAGAAAAGTATTTTCTTTGCGCAGTTTACTTTTTGTTGAACTCGACGTGCCAAATGGTGAACCAGAGGTCGACAAGTAAACAATGATTACATTTTTCCTCACATTGACCACCTAATAAGTGACGCTGAGGAGTTGACCAAGCCTTGTCACGATTAAGTGCTAGGATAGCAGTAGTAGACTCTTCAGTGATTGCTTTACTTGTGCCTTTTAATAAAACAGGTGGAATACTGGGTTTCACAGTGACTGTTCTTTTTCTTTGTACAGTCTCATTGCCCTCAGGACACGAGCGACCACTTTTCATTATGCTATCAGATCTAATGGATGTGGCAATTTTAGACTGTAAAGAAGGTTGCTGCAAGTGACTCGCTTTGTTCATCCTACCACTAGACGAAGGAGATCCTCGAGATGGCGAGTTTCTTCTCAATTCACTTCTGTCTTCTTCTTCAATACTTGGAGGTATACTACCCTCTCTTGTTTTCAAGACAGATACTTTAGTGCCTCTCATGTATGATTTTAAGGCACCAGCAGGTAAAGATTTCCTAGATGATGACTGACGATTAAGGGATGAAGACCCTTCAGTGGTATCTTTCTTGGCACGAGTTTTATCATATGATGCTGTGTTTAAGACATTCATACGTTCCATGAGCAATGAGAACTCAAGGTCCGTAGCTGCATCAGCACCAGTCACATTATAATCCCAAACAACGTGCTGGCTCTCGATGTTTCGCCGAAGAAGATCGTGCTTTCCTTGTTTAACGTCATTTACAATGTTGGTGCATCGAGCAACAGTGTTCCGTCGTGTAAGAAAGGGTACCTGTTTTGGGCCATGCTTACTGAATTTAAGAACCATTTTCTGCACTACGCCAGGACCTTTTTCTTCTTGATTAATTGTACTATTTACATGATCATTATCTGCTAATTCCACTTGCAAACACTCTAAACCTTTTATATTCCCATCTTCTTGGATTTCATCTAAATGTTCTACAATTCCTTCCAGCTGCTCTACATTTTCCACTTCACTTACAGGTTCTCTGTGAATGTCTTTTGTGTCTCGAATACTTTCTTTCGTGAGGCGACCATCCCTGCCAGGGGAGAGGGAAGGTCCGTTGATTTTTGAGATGGTGGCCCCGCTCCCCCCTGAGAGGGGCCAACCGATAAAAAAGACGAGAATCCAGAAAGACGGGGGCAACTGGGAGATCTCATCAACTCTGTAATGGATAAATAATTTAATAATTTTTTCTCCTTTGGTGCCTCAAATATAATCTTTTTTCAGACATTTCAAATTCCTTACAAGTGGGGAGGTGCCATATCAGTAAAAGGATCTTAAGTCAAATAATTAGAACTATCTTCCCACTGGATCAAAGCTGATTAGCTCCTATTCTCCAGACACTGACGCATAGGTTTGTTTCCCATGATTATAATAAAAAAGCCTTTGAAACATTAACAAATACATACTAGCTTGTATAAAATGGAATTCTTGAGACCAAGGAAAAATAATTTATCACATTCAATAGTTGTCTTGCCAGAAGTGTGCAGACACAAATCAAAGAATAGTTCAGAGAGAAATAATCAAACCTATCAATGTAAATCTATGATCATGTGATTGACTGTTTATGGCATACATCTAAGAATTTTCTTAGTTTTATCAAGGTTGCACCTTTACATCTTTTGCAAGTGACAGTTATCATCTAGCTATCCCACAATTTTAAGACATCATGGCAGGAAAACAGTACTTTAATTTGAACAAATAAATTGAGATAGAGGGCATGTAGATATGGATGGAGTGAGGGAGCTTAAATCACCATCATTGTATATCTGTATTAATCTTCTTTCTTTCAATGCACTTGCTGTATTCCACTGAGGCAGGGTGGCCCAAAAGGAAAAACAAAAGTTTCTCCTTTTAAATTTAGTAATATATACAGAAGGGATTACTAGCCCCTTGCTCCTGGTATTTTAGCCACCTCTTATGACATGCATGGCTTATGGAGGAAGAATTCTGTTCCACTTCCTGTGAAGATAAGAAATAAACAAGTACAAGAACTAGTAAGAAAATAGAAGAAAACCCAGAGGGATGTGTATATATACGTTTGTATATCCAAGTGTAGTGTGACCTAAGTGCAAGTAGAAGTAGCAAGACGTACCTGAAATCCTGCATGTTTTGAGACAGAAAAAACACCAGCAATCCTGCCATCATGTAAAATAATTACAGGCTTTTGTTTTACACTCATTTGGCAGGATGGTAGTACCTCCTTGGGCAGTTGCTGTCTACCAACCTACTACCTAGAATCTGTATTAATATACTAATATGAACATTACAAGTACTTGTATGTACTATGTGCAATTGTAAAATGAACTGCAGGTAGCAAGGGACACAACTAATAATAAGGATGCAATAGCTAATATCACCACCACTCCCACCTCTATCCATAGGGATAGGGAAGGGGGAGAGTGAGAAGAATGGAACTAGGTGTATGAATATAAATTATCTGTCTAGTACTGTGACACTAGATCAAAGAAGAAAGTGAAGAAATGTAAAATGAGCTGTAGATTTCTTGGGGCACATTATGATAAAACCATTGACAGTGGATGAGACAAAAATCCGGGCTGTGGCTCGTACGTTGGTTTGCGTGCAGCCAGCAGCAACAGCCTGGTTGATCAGGCGCTGATCCACCAGGAGGCCGGCACAGACCGGGCCCCGGGGGGGGTTTACCCCCGAAACTTTCCCGGTAAATCCAGGGGACTAGGTAGCCAAAAAGATTAATGCTAATTTTTCTACCCAAATTCAGTGGAGGTTTGTGCTTAGTCATTTAGTTATTAAAAGCTCAAGTCTTCCCCCTTTGTAAAAACACATCGTAAAAAATTTTTTTTTTCTAAAGGGTTTTTGTCACTAATGCTTCAAAATGCAAGATTTATTTAGACAACTTCAGTCTGATTATTCCACTATTTTTTTAAAGGTTCATTTTTTTTTTTTTTTAACAAGTCGGCCCTCTCCCACCGAGGCGGGTGACCCAAAAAAAAAAGAAAATACTTTCATCATCATTCAACACTTTCACCACATCACACATTATCACTGTTTTTGCAGAGGTGCTCAGAATACAACATTTAGAAGCATATACGTTAAAGATACACAACATATCCTCCAAAACTGCCAATATCCCAAACCCCTCCTTTAAAGTGCAGGCATTGTACTTCCCATTTCCAGGACTCATGCCCGACTATATGAAAATAACCGGGTTTCCCTGAATCCCTTCACTAAATATTACCCTGCTCACACTCCAACAGATCGTCAGGTCCCAAGTCCCATTCGTCTCCATTCACTCCTATCTAACACGCTCACCCCACACTTGCTGGAAGTCCAAGCCCCTCGCCCACAAAACCTCCTTTACCCCCTTTCGAGGACGACCCCTACCCCGCCTTCCTTCCCCTATAAATTTATATGCTTTCCATGTCATTCTACTTTGATCCATTCTCTCTAAATGACCAAACCACCTAAACAACCCCTCTTCTGCCCTCTGACTAATACTTTTATTAACTCCACACCTTTTCCTAATTTCCACACTCCGAATTTTCTGCATAATATTTACACCACACGTTGCCCTTAGACAGGACACCACTGCCTCCAACTGTCTCCTCGCTGCTGCAATTACCACCCAAGCTTCACATCCATATAAGAGTGCAAGAGGAGCAAGATGTCCAAGGGTATAATTCAGAACAATGAGGGATCATCGAGGTGATATGGATTTGTAGAGGGGATAAGATAAAGAGCATGCATAAATTTGGAGCAAGAAAGGTTATTCAGGATTGGTTGCATGGAAGGGGTAAAAAAAAAAAAAAAAAAAAACTTTGAACGTCCAATAGGATTGTGTGAGCATGTTAGACAGGAGTGAATGGAGACAAGTGAATTTTTGTGGATGTGTTGTTGGAGTGTGAACGGGTAACATTTACGAAAGGATTCATTTAGCCAGTCTTAAGTTCTGGAGATGAGAAAGGCAATGCCTGTACTCTGAAGGAGGGGTGAGGAAGTTGCAGTTGGAGGGTAGTTGTAATTATGATGTCAGCACTTCTGACAAGACAGGGATTGAATGTCATGATACCATGTCTGGAACAGTTCTAGACTAACCCACAAATTGGAGATAAAAAAATAGATAATGTATCAGATTGTCATTGGTTTAACACTTCTTATTGATTATAATAATAATAATCAGATTGCCATAGACCATCACAGCATTTTGCTCCATCCATCCAGGCTGGAGTGAAATCCTGTATACTTTTATCTCTGATTTGTGGGTTAGCTGTAAATAAATAAAATGCGTATAGTATCTTGAGCTTAAACTTTGCATTATATATTATTTATCTAAATGACAGATTTTTAATGTACAGAATATATACTTACCTTTACTGTGTGTTACACTTAAACCTTCACCTCTCCGCACTGGAGATTTATCCTCTGTACTGCCTTCCGAGTTGGTGTCCCTCTGTTGTTCTGCAAATGCAATGGCCGAGATAATTTAAGGTTGTCAATATATATACTTTGCATTACTGTATTTTATATTTCCTTAAATATGATACATGAATCCCTTATGCCAAAAGAGGGATTAGCCTGCAGTCTATCTATGGCAGGAACACGCATGAACATTCTGTATTATGTATATTTTAAATTCAACAAATTCAGTTATTTTTGTCATAGAGTATGCTCCTGTTAAATTATCTAGCCAGTGGTCAGTATTACTGTGTTATGAGGTCAGGTGTTACTATGCAGCTGTGCTGGAAGAGTGGGAGACAAAATTATTTACACTGTTTAGGAAGAGTTAAGTATAATACAAATAAACTACCAGTATAAAGAAGCAAACAATTTACTGTACAGGAAGACAGCACACTAAAAGATTTACATATTTACAAAACAGTTTCCTTAGAACACACTTGCTGACAGTGAATGGCAAACATTCAGAAAAATGATAGTCCAAGACCCCCAAAGATATAAAGCTGCTAAAGTATCAGAGAGAAACAATGTTCCCAACAAGGAGATCAGCTTACAAAGTTATATTTGTCATTAGTACTTCTTTTGTGAATACTGTATGGTAATAAAATATTTAGAGCAATTTACAATAATGCTCATGTTTTTGGAGAGATGTGACTGGCAAATTGTCACTTTTGTACTAATTAAATAGATTCACTTTTGCAACTCAAAACTTTACGAGCATGCACACCATCTACGCACTCAACAGTGTACCAACACTCTTATTTTCCTGCTGCAAACCGCCCAGCGGCTGCAGTGGCATGCGTGGTTGTGGCAACACTGGCTCTGGTGTTACCTTGCATGTTGGCTGCGGTGAGAATGATGTGCTCAAGCTTTTCTCTAAGAGCGCATACTTCGTCGGTCCTCAACTGTCGCTCTGCTTTCAGGAAGTGGCCCAGTTGACGGCAGAGGTCACCCAGGTCGGCCTCATGCTGCAGCAACACTCGTCAACTCACTAGCTCTATTCCAGCTTACTAAAATGTCCTTTTTTCCCCTCTTTCTCTCCTCTCTCTCTCTCTCTCTCTACATCAAAACTTGTATACATAATATGAATACATGCACATGAACAGGCACCAGAAATAAATGCATTATGAGTCACATGCAAACATAAACCAAACAAAACATATGCACTAGACACAAAGCTAAAACACACAATAAGCAATTTACCTTGTACAGAAAAAATCTAACAAACTTGCTAGTGTTAAAGATGAAATGTAAAATTATTGCACAAAACAAAAAAGACTTCTATAATTTAGGTCAACTAAAAAGTCTAATATATGCAGCCATGAAGGACAGGTGTTAAGTTACTAAAAATACATTAAAGTTACATTAAGTTACACAAAATACATTAAACATAAATAGAAAGCATATGGGGCTATAAGACATTTAAACAAGTTCTACTCATCAGCTAACAGAAGCCTTTTAACTTTAAAAAAAACAAGGCCCTTACTTGACATTCTGACTTGTGTTGTTTTGGACTTAAGACATTGGAACCAATTAATTACAAAGAAGCAACTCTTTTCCAACTGTTATATTTTTCTCAGTTTTTGCCAAATGCATGTTATGTATGTTCATTTTATGCATGCATAAAGAGCTTATTTTTTTTTTTTTGCTAGATACTGGACAAAAACTGTACATTTATTATTTACATTAGGCTAGTGCATCACTGGTTGGTAATACCGGGAGATGAGTGGATTACCTGGGAACAGGGAAGAACCAAGGGAGGCTGAAGCCTCCCCCAAATTCCCATCAGCCCCTCAAGTAATAATAATGCTGCTTCAAGACAAGGTCTCCTGGGCCCCCTTCCCCCCTCTTCCAATTAGACTGCCACTCCTAAGTCCTTTCAAGTAAAAATTCTGGAGTTGCCCCAGCCCGATATTGGTGGCTATGTCATCAAGTTCAGCAAGGTGAGGGGGCAGGACCTCAGACATCCTCTCCACACTACATCCCTCCTCTCCAAACCCCCTCCCCCATCTCTCTCTATTATGTAAAACTTCATAGAAATAGTCTTGTATTGAAAAGGCATATTGAGGGTAAAAAACGCTTGGTGAAAAGTAACTAAAATCGGATATGAAAAATTAAGTCTTGGAAATGCATTAATTAGGTTTCATCCATTCTCATCAGGAAAATGAGAGTACCCAACCATAGATTTTTGATGAATTTTCAGGAAAATGTTAACATAGTATGTGTGTACACACACACACACACACATACAGTAGACTCCATTTTCTTGGACTCCAAGAAGGCCTTCGACACAGTTCCTCACAAGAGATTAGTGCAAAAGCTAGAGGATGAGGCACGTATAACAGGAGGGGCACTGCAATGGAGCAGAGAATACCTGACAGGGTGGCAACGAGTCATGGTATGTGATAAAGTATCACAGTGGGCACCTGTGATGAGTGGGGTTCCACAGGGGTCAGTCTTAGGACCAGTGCTATTTTTGGTATATGTGAATGACATGATGGAAGGGTTAGACACAGAAGTGTCCCTGTTTGCAGATGATGTGAAGTTAATGAGGAGAATTAAATCAGATGAGGATCATGCAGGACTACAAAGAGACCTGGACAGGCTGGATATGTGATCCAGTAACTGGCTCCTTGAATTTAACCCCACCAAATGCAAAGTCATGAAGATCGGGGAAGGGCAAACAAGACTGCAGACAGAGTATAAGCTAGGTGGCCAAAGACTGCAAACCTCACTCAAGGAAAAAGATCTTGGGGTGAGTATAATATCGAGCACATCTGAAGCGCATATCAACCAGATAACTGTTGCAGCATATGGGCGCCTGGCAAACCTGAGAATTGCGTTCATAAACCTCAGTAAGAAATCATTCAAGACCATGTACGTCAGGCCCATACAGCACCAGTTTGGAACCCACACCTGGTCCAGCACGTCAAGAAATTAGATAAAGTGCAAAGGTTTGCAACAAGGCTAGCTCCAGAGCTAAGGGGAATGTCATACGAAGAAAGGTTAAGGGAAATCAGCCTGATAACACTGGAGGACAGGAGGGTTAGGGAAGACATGATAATGACATACAAAATACCAAGAAGAATAGATAAGGTGGACAGAGACAGGATGTTCCAGAGATGGGAGACAGAAACAAGGGGTCACACTTGGAAGTTGAAGACTCCGATGAGTCAAAGAGATGTTAAACAGTATTTCTTTATTCATAGGGTTGTCAGGAAGTGGAATAGTCTGGCAAGTGATGTAGTGGATGCAGGAACCATACATAGTTTTAAGACGAGGCATGATAAAGCTCATGGAGCAGGGAGAGAGAGGACTAGTAGCAATCAGTGAAGAGGTGGGGCCAGGAACTATGTCTCGACCCCTGCAACCACAAATAAGTGAGTACAAACAGGTCAGTACACACACACACAAAGGTTGCAACAAGGCTAGTCCCGGAGCTAAGGGGCATGTCCTATGAGGAGAGGTTAAGGGAAATCGACCTGATGACACTGGAGGATAGGATAACATGTAAACTACAGAGAGGAATTGACAAGGTGGACAAAGACAGGATGTTCCAGAGATGGGACACAGCAACAAGGGGTCACAGTTGGAAGTTGAAGACTCAGATGAATCACAGGGATGTTAGGAAGTAGTTCTTCAGTCACAGAGTTATCAGGAAGTGGAATAGTCTGGGAAGTGACGTAGTGGAGGCAGGATCCATACATAGTTTTAAGAAGAGGTATGATAAATCTCATGGAGCAGGAAGAGTGGCATAGTAGCGGCCAGTGAAGAGGCGGGGCCAGGAGCTGTGACTCGACTCCTGCAATCACAACTAGGTGAGTGTACACACACACACACACACACAGCCATTTCCCAATGAGGCAGGGTGACCCAAAAAAAGAAGAAACTTTCATCACTGTCACTGTCATGCCAGAGAGGGACTAATACTACAGTTAAACAGCAAATATCTTCACCCCTCCTACAGAGCGCAGGCACAATATTTCACATCTCCAGGACTCAACTCGGGCTAACCTATTTCCCTGAATCCCTTCATAAATGTTACTTAGCTAACACTGCAACAGCCTGTCAAGTCATAAAAACCACTTGCCTCTACTCGTATCTAACACATATACAATGTGCACACATGCTTACTGAATGTGTGTGTGTATATGGTTTTCCTTTCTTTTTTGGGTCATTTGCCCCTGGGATGCCTTTAACTGAACTATGTGTAGAAAGAGGCTTGGTAATAAAAATACATATTTTATGAAAAAGATGGTAAGTATACAAGATATGATATAGCATGTAATGAAAGTAGTTTGTTAGATTATGTATTGGTGGATAAAAAGTTGATGGGTAGACTTCAGGATGTGCATGTTTATAGAGGGGCAACAGATATATTGGATCATTATTTAGTTGTAGCTACAGAGTAAGAGGCAGATGGGAGCAAAAGGAAAATTGCAACAGCAAGTAAGAGTGAGGTGAAAGTTTATACACTAAGGAAGGAGGAATTTAGGGTGAGATATAAGCAACTATTAGCAGAAAAGTGGACTAATGTGAGTAGGTAGTGTGGGGCCTGAAGAGTGGTGGGATAGTTTTACAAATGCAGTGTTAGAATGCAGGGCAGAAGTTTGTGGCTATAGGAGAGTGGGTGCAGGAGGAAAGAGTGACTGATGGAATGATGAGGTAAAGGGTGCAATAAAAGAGAAAAAGGCCACTTATGAGAGGCTTTTACAAAGCAGAAGTGATATAAGAAGGGCAGAGTATATGGAGAGTAAAAGAAAGGTGAAGAGAGTGCAAATGGAGAGCTAATGATAGAGTAGGTGAGGCACTGTCAACAAATTTTGCTGAGAATAAGAAAAATTTTTGGAGATAAACATGTTGAGAAAGCCTAGAGAATGAATGGATTTGTCAGTAAAAACCAGAGTAGGGGAGTTAGCAGATGGGGAGCTGGAGGTATCAGGAAGATGGCAGGAATATTTTGAGGAACTTTTAAATGTTGATGAAGAAAGGGAGGCAAGTAATGTCATGCACTGGCAAGGGAGGTATAACATCTTCTAGGAGTGAAGAAGAGCTGGATGTGAATGTGGAGGAGGTGTGTGAGGCATTACATAAAATGAAAGGGGGTAAAGAAACTGGGACTGACAGGATCATGACAGAAATGTTAAAAACAAGGGGGGATATAGTGTTGGAGTGGTTAGTGTTTTTGTTCAATAAATGTATGAAAGAGGGGAAAGGTACCTAGGGATTGGATGAGTGCGTATACAGTGGAGCCTCTACTTGCGAGTTTATTCCGTTCCATGACCTTGCTCGCAACTGGATTTGCTCATTTACCGAGTCAATTTTCCTCATTGAAATGCAATTAATCCGTTCCAGTGGAATTTTGTACTTCAATAATTTCGCTAATATCAACTCTACGGCTTATTTATCCATCTCACTTCACCTAAGATGACATAATAAACAATAAAAATTACATAGAAACCTGATATATACTCTAAAATGAATAAAATATGTCTTTCATGTAGTGGTATGGGCGGTGTCGGCGATGGACGAGAGTTTGTCTGGAGACCGGGCAAAATACTTCATGAATAATTTCGCTATCATCATCTATACAGCTTATTTATTTATCATTATTTCAGGAATATCGCTAGTATTTTCCTGGGTGAAAACTGAGAGGAAGTAGGTATTGAGAATTTCACACATATCCCTATCACTGTCAGTGATCTGACCAGAGTTACTCTTAAGTGGGCCAATCTTGTCCCTAATCATACAGAAGTAAGATTAGGGACAAAATTGGCCCACTACTAAAATTCCTTGTACAACTATGTATCATGTCCACATAAACTACTATGAATATATGATTATTATTATTATTATTATATTTTATTATTAATTTAGGGAACTGAAGCTCTATTGTTATTGCAATAATAATTATTATTATTATTGATAATTTAGGGAACAAGCTCTATTGTTATTATTAATTTAGGGA